GAAAAGGCCCTTGCAGAGCTATGACATAACTATGCTGTGGTGTAGTAATTGGGTTGTGCGAGCCAGCGACGGTGATCTGCGGAAGCGAGACTGTTCCCCGTGGGACGATTGCCCTGTCGGGACGGTCCAGCCGTCTCCCAAACGGTCACCCGAAGAGGATTATGTGTCCTGGAATGGATCCGACATCAACTACAGGTTGGCTGGTGGGGTGACCTCCCGTCCAGAGAGGGAAGCATGAAGACTATGTAGGGGCGATGCGGATTGGTTTTTCCTGAGGATAGCGATGACGTAAGGAATCTAGCACCCTTGAACCTTCCTTATACTGAATGTATCTCAGGCTGCGTTCCTAAAAATCTCCTAAGCGTTTTTTTTCTCGACATCGTGAAGGTGTCATTAACAAAAATATGAAATTCGGGAGGCTAAATTAATTATAGAAAATGTGGCCAACAGAACATTATCAGTTGCGTTCAACATAAGCGCAAGCATGTTCACACACCCAGCTTACATATGAGCCATGTAATAATTATTTTTGATAGACATGCTTAGTTATGAAATCATCTGAAGTGTTTGTAAAGTTCCACGATACGGATCTAATATCCTGCTATGCTATGACCATTTCTGGTCAGGTCATGTCTTTGAACATAGGCCAAATTTTTCAAATGACCTTTAAAGATAAACTTGCGATTCATTCGAAGCGTTTTGATAAGAGGAACGAAGAGGCTGGTAAAATTAATTTAATGCAAGTTTTAAGCTAAAAACTTTAAAGTGTTTGTGGAAAAGCAATTGGTTTTCTCATAATACCGATGGTGGCAGTTGTTGTTATTTACATGCTAAGCCGTTGACCCTAATTCAATCTGACAATATTATTCAGATTTCAGACATAGCGGTAAATGAGCTGATTGTTGTGTTAGGTTAGGCTCTTCGGTCGATTTCAGAGTGGGAAGGATGATAGGAATTAGGAGGAGACAGGGGGCCTGGGCGGGAGTCCTGGACCTCATGCTCCGCTGGGGCCGAGCCCATCACGTGGGTTGGATTGCCCTGACACATGGGTAGCCCTGGGCGGTGTTTCACGGCCCCGCGCTGCAGCACGCTGCGCTGCGCTGCTGCATTGTTGCGGCGGTTGATATGAATTGGGCTCCACGCTAGCGTTGCGAGCCATAGGTGCGGGAGCCGGGGGGGCAGTGGGTGCAGCTTGCCCCCCCCCCCCCAACTCTGGGGCCGTGGGGGCGGTGCCCCCACAGCTTTGAGACGGAATACCACATTGTTTTGCAAATGTTTTCTTTTTTTGGAAAAATAAGTGGCCTAAAACCGGTGAGAAAAGATTTGGGGGATCCTAGGTTGATCTCTATTATGGTGTGCCCCCAGTCGGAAAGTAGTTCCCGCGCCCCTGTTGCGAGCTTCCGAGTCTGTTGATGTTTCCATGGAAATTGGAAACCCAATGCACCGGTGCGCACAACGCACCCTGTCTAAGCAAAATTTTACCATCGATGACCTCTAGTGACATGACCTCTGGCTATGACCGGATCCAAAATTAGCTGAAGTATTTTTTTCTTCTTTTTGCTACTTTTGACGCTACTTCGAATACCACTTAACCCTAGAACGCCTAGGGGGGGGGGGTGTATCAACCCCCCCCCCCCCCGAGGTTTTTCTTAGCTACACGCCGAACCGTTTCAGATAGCCTGCTCAAATTTTCAGTACCCTTTGGGGCATCCTTTGCGCAACTTTTGGTATTTTTTTTTGTCAAGGTCATGTCAGGTTACGGAGTTATGACGTCATAAAGGGAACAACCTCCGGCCAGATTTACGCTAAATTGGAGATTGCTTCACATTGGTATAAATGCCGACTGACCTGACGCACTGATGGATTGTTTTATAGAATCACAACTGGCTGATTTGACATTGGCACAATGTCCGTTGACATTTTGAAGGTCACTAAAGGTCAAGGTAAGGTCATTGACCTCGGTTGACCTGTAATGACTTCTTGCACTTGTATGCCATTTCGGGGTATTTTGATGCCCTGAATTCGAATTTGCTATCCATTTCAGGCATCGTCGGTTGTTTCTTGTAGTTCATTTTGGGTCAGGGTCAGGTCAGTGACGTCACACGCCTGACGTGACCCAATGGACAAATGACCTTGCAGACTTCCGATGCTCCCAACGCATCATTTTTAAAGTTATGACATCGAAATACACACCAAACGATAGAGAATTGATCAAGGATCACGTTAGTGAAGGTTTCAAGTCGACATCTCGTACCGTTTTGCCGCAATCGGCGCGGAAATCTGAAAAAGTTAGATTTTTCCGAAAATTTGACCTTTGACCGGTCATAAGTAGGTCAAATGTTGACCTAGGACCAAAAAATATACCACCAATCGCGAGATCTCATTGAGAGCAATCCGTTGGTTTTTTCCGCTAAGCTCTACGACCTTCCGTTTCGAAACGCCAGGGGGGGTCGTAACAACCCCCCCCCCCCCTGGTCGTTCGTGTTATGAGAAATGGCCTGGTCGTGCGAGGGTTAAATGCCCAAAGCTGAGTTATAAGAATGATCCTCAATCCCCATTTCCCCTCCAACAGGGCGTGAGAGTCTAGGCATTCATGTGGGGCACGGGCTAACAATGACTATCTCATCGGCCATGAACATCTACTGCCATTCTTTAACACCGGTTTCGCTGCGCTGAGCGGTGGCCGTCCCGTCTGTCGGATTCTACAGCTGGCTGGTGGAAAGCGTTACCGGCCGCCCGTCCACCGCCCGCGGGCCGGACCGAGCGGTCCCGCTGACCCTTCCTGACCTGATACCGGCGCGATATGGGACAGGCAGACGGGGGTTCGGCTCAGCGAAGGCAGCGCCCACTGGTGCCGGGGACTTTTTTAATAGACCTACTGTACGGGAATGAGTTATCAGCTGTCTAATCGTAGACAGCACAATGTCGAGCCTTAAACTGTAAGCCCGTATTGTATTGTTTCTTTTATTTGGCTGTCGAACATTATTTATGGTTTGAAATATGATTTTATGTAAAATAATTGATATAAAAAAGCCGTCCTATAAGTTATGACCCCATTTCACCACACGCAGGTGGCAGAAATGACAATGATCAGCTGACGCATTTTCCTTGGCCGAAGTCAGAGCGCGCGGCCCGACGCACCACGCGTATTTGGAAATTCCGACCCCGACGAGCATCAGAAGCCACCTAACAGGCGTGTTCGAAACCGCAGGAGATGATGATGAACGGGTTTATCGAAACTTGATTGGATGAGCATATCGGTAATAGCGATTTCAGTGTGTGCATTTATTGTTCATAGTGGTGTGAAATGTGGTTGGGGTACGACCGACAACCCGTCGGGGCGAATTTCGCACTGGGGTACTCAAAATTTGAAGAATTTAAGACGTTTCCATGAGTTTTGAAGGTATGGATAAGTTCTAAAAATCCGGTTCTCCTTATCTGGGCCATTAACTCCATACGGTCCAAGAAAGCTGGCACACTACCTTTAAGCTTCAGAGCATCACTGACCGGTGGCATCCATGTCTTACGGTTTTCGAAATATCTCGAATTTCGGCTTTGCCCCAACTCCGGCATTGCCCCAACTTCCCCTAACTCTCCCCTACCTACCTAGTACCTAGTACCTACGCTGCCCACAGCCGGCAATGCATGCTGTTCCAGCCTTGGGGTGTTTCACGCTGAATGTTACTTTTAAATAGCTTTTAAAAGACATGGACTATTCACATGCTAAGAATTCATTTTTTATTTTATTGCGAAACTACTGGGGCTTGCTTTGAGGCTTACCTCCGCCCGAGTCCGGTCCCTTCTGTAAGCTGTTCTGTGCGTTTTGTCGGTTCTTCCTCGGTCTGATCTGCTGTCTGGTCACTATAACGATTGCTGAGCGGTTGAGTCACGCGCCACTCCTACCATTTATCGCCAGTTGACAGCTGGGCAATCGCTCGGCAGTTCGCACTTACACAAACTCGAAATGCTTTACGGAAAGTAACGCACTGTATCGGAATGAACATCAACGCTTTTCTGCGCTGTGTGATTGAGAACATCCTATCACAAGCGATATCACGGGACTCATCATTCATACCGGGATATTACATGCAGGGGCAGCTAATCATTGGCGGATCTGAGCGCTGATCGAGTTCGTCGCCCTCTCTGCTCAGCATGTGGTCTCCGGAGTCCGTTATATCTAGCCCAGCCTGAGCAGACGGGTGGGAAGTGTATCCGGTTTCTCGTTATATCTGGTGTATGTGGTCTCCAGCGTCCTTTACCTAGCTGGTGGATGTAGTCCCCAGTGTCAGCTATATCTAGACCAGTCTGAGCAGACAGGACGTTGTGGTTTCCGGTATCCTTTCTCTGGCCGACCAGTCTGTGGCGATACTCTGAGTCTGTTGTCACTCTCCACTGATCCATGTCAGCAGTACTCAGAGCACGGTAGATGGCCGAATCACCCACAGCCGAGCACACCACCCAGGCTTTTGGTACAGCCAAGAACGGTGACGTCACCAATTTATGACGCAGGCGAACGACAGGCTGTAAACGCGGCAGCCGCCTTCAAATGATCGTAAATTTGTCGCCGGAGGATTTGAACCAGAATTTATGTAAGCTCTTCCTCAAAGTTTTACTGCGGCTGACCTGCAAAAGTGATACTTTTATGACTTTTCTGACCTTTTGCGTGAAAATATAGCCGAGTAGGCGGGAAAACACTGAAATCATCTCGCATTCAATGCGCGAGCTGCGCACGGTGGCGGCTCACCCGTGACAGATCCGCGCCTCTCCGGAGATGGAACTGACCTCCAGTGCGACCGACTGGCCCTCTCTGCCGAATCAGGTGCGGACACGGGCCGAGAGCGGGCCCATACGCACACAGGTGGTCAGGTAACCGGGGCAGAAACGAGCCACTTCGGAGGCCACGTGGACTTTGGTCGGACCACCTACAGCATGTACGTGTTTATTTTCCATTTGGTCGTCCCAGAGTCACCGAGTGTAGCACCGGACATCAAACACCGATAGTCTCCACACGTCTTTTATTATTAAAACAAACGACTGAAAGCATTTATATGCATGCCTGGGAGGTGGAGGCACCGCATTCACTAGTGCGCTGCTCTCAGCCGGAGCCAGCGCCGGGACATGCACCGGGCTCGTACACGCCCCTCGGATAAACCTCTGTATTGGCCAACATCGTCATCATCACACCCCCTATCCTACCCAACGTCAGATAAGCGGGTCGGGGACTGGGCAGCTACCGCGCGTGGGTTACCTACCCACGAGAACACCTCCGCTGATAAAACTAGCGTCAACAAACATGCGCCCGAGGCAAACAAGGACTCGCCCCAGCGGCCGCGATCAGGCGTGTTTTTGGCATCGCTAATGGTACCCTTTGGCGCAGTCCCAGGCGCCGGGGACTTTGCTAGGCCCCTGAGACTGGCACGGAGCTGGGATATGGGCTATGCTGAACTAGTGGCCTGTCTCCGTAACGGCCCAGACCTGGGCAGGTGGCAGCACCACCTGTTTCCACCCCGGCCGGCAGGTGGCAGCACGTCAGGCCCACCCAGGAGAATCCGGGACCCTCAGTGAACGGCGGTGACCGGCAGAGACCCCCAGTGACCCTCAGTGACCGGCGGCGACCCTCGGTGACCGGCGGTGACCCTCAGTGACCGGCGGTGACCCTCAGTGACCGGCGGTGACCCTCAGTGACCGGCAGAGACCCTCAGTGACCGGCGGCGACCCTCGGTGACCTCCGGAGGCTGCGCGCCGCCTCAGGTGGCCTGCTCTAGCCGGCGCGCCAGGGCCGGGCCGTCCTCTGGAATGACAGAGCGGAGCAGGTCAGCGGCGCCGGCCGGGCCCTCGTCCTCCTCTGCCAGCGTGGACTCGTTGGTGAAGCGGCGCCCCAGGCGCGGCCCCGAGCCCACCGAGCAGTCGCTGAAGCCGCTGTCGCTGCGCTCGCTGTAGATGGAGGCGCGCTTCTGCTGCAGCAGGCCGCCGGCCGGCGCCGCCAGCAGGCCGCCCTCGCGGCTGGCGCGGCGCGACTGGCTGGCCCGCCGCGCCGGCAGGCTGGCGCTCATACGGCCCAGCGCCCGGATGGCGTTACCGGTTTTCTACAGACGGCGGGGAGGGAGAGGGCCGTTAGATCGGGGATGGAGGGGCGACGGCGCCGTACACCCGTCACTGGGGGCTCTAGAGACACGCATGCGGTCCGGCTACAGGGAAAAACACGCAAAACTCAAAACAAGTTGAAGGAAAAATGTTGTACGACAAAGAAAGAAAGAAAACCTCATGAGCAATACACAAACAGCTCGTCTGCAAAACAAAACGAAACAAAAAGAAACCAGAAGCACTATGCTAAAAGCATTCATGTTATCACTGTTACCATCTAAAGTACAAGAAACTGAAAGCAAGTTTCTTGTGCTGCTTCCAGCCAGTGCGAGCCGCACGCACCTGCCACTTTCTCCTGATGATGAACTTTTTGAGTTTTTCCTTGGAGAGGACGGTGGTTTGGGCTCCTCGGTGGCCGGTCGTCAGCCAGGGGTGGGTCAGCGCGCGGCAGGCGCTCATCCGCTCCCTGCCGACCGGGCGCACAGTCAGCACACGGTCACACACATACACACACCGTCAGCTGCCGTCCGGGCGCACAGCAATCAGCACGCGGTCCACACACACATACACACACCGTCAGCTGCCGCCCGGGCGCACAGTCAGCACACACACAGTCAGCTGACGGTCCGAGCGCACATCAATCAGCACACGGTCCACACACACATACACACACATGTTTGTAAGGTGCGGCATAGTGGTGCCCATGTTGATTTACAGCGGAGTGGGGTCCGACTTTAATTTTTTATTTGTTGTGCTAGAATAAATTTGGTTACATGGTCATGCTTCTCTTGGGTTACCGATTCAGATTGCATACTTCTTAACGGGATCAATGTGAAATTGGACGATGTTAAAAACGCAGCTTAGTGGGGCCCGGGCTGTATGACGTATTAATGACGTCATACATCGGTCCCCACTTCGCTGGGTATGACAATACACACTTATATACATACATATTAGAGTTACGAATTTCATCAAAAATAGAAGCCAAGGTCACACCCAGCACCTCGATTTCCTATCAAAATACTTTGCAACACTTCATGCTATATATTATCAAATATCAGCCACTCAAGTCAGCATACATGATCAAATGATGATAGGTATTGGATGGCAAGCTAAGGGCAATAAAAAACATCACCAGGAGCTGTGTACACCGTATTTCACCACCATAGGCATCTTTGTCACCACACCTTCGCTTCGATGAATATAGGCAATTAACATTAATGTAGGTATGCCTAAACCTTGAACCTGAATCTCGGCTAGCCGCAGTCAACGGTGGCAGAGCGCAAGTGGGCGTGGGGCGGTGGCACCTTATGGACGGGCGTCTTGGCGAGCGAGTGGCGGCATCGGTGGCGGTGGACGGCCATCTTGGCGCACGGCAGCAGCGAGCGGCTGTTTTGGTAAGCACTCGTCGGGCAGCTGGACGGGGTCGGAGCTGGCTAGATTCGCCAGCCGGAACTGATGGTCGTCCGACGCCGTCTTCAGCACAACCACAGACAGACTCGCTGTCCAGCGCCTCCGTCTGGTATCACACAGGGGTGGGGCTGTGTTATAATACAGGCTGGCACAGGGGAGTAGTTAGGTCAAATACCGACTTGACACGAGGGAGGCGGCTGGGTCGAACATCGAGCTGACAAGGGGTGGGGGCTGGGTCAAATACCGACCTGACAAGGAGAGGGGACTGGGTGAAAGAACAAGCTGACACAGAAGAGAGGCTAGGTCGAACACCGAGATGACACGTGCAAGTAGTTAGGTCAAATACCGACCTGACACGAAGGAGAGGGCTGTTTATTTGTTTGTTTGTTGGGGGTTAGGGGCGCGCCGACTGCAAGGTCATTTTGCGCCCATAACGGAGATTTTAAATGCGTCTTAAGTTACTTACTAATTTATATTTGATGCTTAGGAAATGAAAGTAACGGGGAAGTTGGCTGCGCGGATAAAGGAAAATAAGCCATCGTTATGGATCCAGCGCGAGTTGTCTGAGATAAAATTTAAGAGAGTCACTGTGGGCACAGGATGCCCGAGGTGGTGTGACCGCATCCGGGAGAGCCGGCGGCACGTCAGTCAGCAGAACATGGGCCACTGCGAGTTGCTCCCCACAGTGGATACATGAAGGGGGCTGGGGCGAATACCGAGCTTTCAACGCAAAGGTTGTTACTCGACAGCCGAACAGGGAATGCTGGAGAGTCAGTCACCGCAGGAGTCAAAACAGAAGGGAACTGATATTATAGTTCGTTTTTTTAGTTCGACCCTCACTGTATTTTGAACAGAGCACGAGAATCGCTTACTGAATTACTGAAAAACTAGTTGGCGCACACTTATTTCATAGACGATCAACTTCATTTAAAATGATTCCTAACTGGCGCCCATTTCCTGCAGATTTACAGCTCGTATTCGCCCATATTTAAAACTCAAAAGTGATAGATAACTTGTCTAGAATTATAACTGAATCAAATATTAAATCGCAAGACATTTGACATGACGCTATACCATCACGGGCGTCGCCACCGGGGGAGCCAGCAGGGGCCGGGCACCCCAACTTTGCTTGAGTTGGGAGAGGGGGCTGGCCCTCACAACTTTTTTGTTCTGGGCCTCGTTTCATAAAGCTCTGCCGTAGCTTACACTTTTCCATAATTAACGCCCTTTCAAACTACGGAGCGCAATAGAAGCGGTTACCAGTGTCTAAAACTATCTAATTTAGAAGAGAATCTAAATTAATTTATTAACGACATGACGCAATTAACCACATTGCATCATGTCGCATATCATTCGTTTCGGCTGATTACAAAGAACACAATAACGCCTTTTTGAAGCTCTAGCCTCATTGTGTGCTAAATTATTAGCAAAAACGTAGTTTGACCTTATTTGACCTCAGACGACCCGACCTGTGTTTTTTTTTTCAGCAAACAAACACCAATTTCATCCTCAATTGAGCTAAACTGAGGGATTACAATACAAAAACGCTAAAATGGAGCATATTTTTTACAATTGGAGCTATTAGGACAAACTTTCTTAGAATTTGTCGTGACCTCTAGATGACCTAAAGTCAACCGAACTTCACAAACCTGGATGTACGTTATACAACTCGGTAAGCTGTGCATACCCTGCCAGTTTGAATCAAATTGATGGACAACTCGAGATTTCATTGACAAAATAGCGTATTTTCAGTGCCATTTTGACCATGTAGGGTAAGGTGCCTAATTAGCGACCCCCTTAATTTGAACTGTCATTGCTCTGTGGGTGCCACTGTGTGACTGGCTTGATTTTCGGAGGGATCGTTCATTTTTCTATTAAAATATAATCATTTTCTGCCCCAATATTTACTAACTTATTTGTAGTGAGCATTTTGGCAAACCATTGCAAAAAAAACGCTAATAGGGAACTCTTCCCGATTAGCGACCGGGGAGGGTCGCCAATAAGTCTATGGGTTTCCCCATATTAAAAATGGCAAAAAATGCGACGCCTGAAAAGATCAAATATGATCTCAAAAAGGTAACCTATACGCAAAGCACTCAATAGCTCGAACAGGAACGTTTATCCAACACATTTACGTAAGTAAAAACTGATCACGTGATCCACCGAAGGCGAAAAGAAGGCGGAAACCCAAATTTTGCAGGCTATCTTGTATGATATTCCAGGTCCGCGCTGAATTCGGCACCCCTGCAGTCGGTGACGACATTTGGCATCCCCTGCCACACATTGCGAGCTTCAGCAACACCTCATTTTCATTTCTCTCTTTTCCCTTTCTTTCCCTTCTTGAGCTATTTGCGACCATGCCAGGCGCAAATAGGAAATATGAGTTGCGACATATTTTTAACCGCCATGCTGTGCACAGTTGAGCGATTCACTATGGGAAAACGGTTATCAATTAAAAAAGGAATGTCGATTCAGAATAAAAAAGGTGCATCATCCTAATGTGCATCGCTTTTCATCAGAGAGGGCTCAAACACACACGTTTTGGATAAGAAACTCGTCATTTTTACTTAAACGCACCTGAAACGTCCCACCAGAAACATCGACGACCGGAAAATAATTTAATTTGATAACCAAAGTATGGCTGACCTTCTGACGATGTTTTTACCCCGTTTTCTCCTGCCAGTTTTTCTGTAGGGAGGTGGGTCGCAAATCGGAAAGGGTCGCTAATTAGGCACCTTACCCTACCGGTTTTTGTGACCATGTGACCTGACCTGAAGCCACTGGAACACAAAACTCCCAGGACACGTGTCAAATGGCTGCTCCAAGTTGAGTTTGAAATTTGGTGGCGTTAAGTCCTGCGGTTCTTACGCTATGAACGATAAACTTAGCGATTCCGTTGCCGCTTATATAGTCAAATTTTACCCTGCATTGTACCGGTTTCGGTGACCTGGTGACCTGACCTAAAATGATAGACCTGAAATTATCAGGGAAGGTGCGAAAAGGTTGCCTCAGACGGCATGCAAAATTTAGCAGCGCAACGCGCTGCCGTTTTTATGTTGTTCGCGAAAAACACTAGGGGGTTGCATCAACCCCCTCGCCCTGCGAGGGTTAAAGGGAATTGTTTCTTTTCCTGACTTTTTTGCAATAGATTTACGAATGTTTATGCTCAAAATAATCAGTAAAAAATAAAAACATATTTATAAAAAATATATATTAATATAGGCAGAACTATATTAAGCATAAAATATTGATTGACGCGGTCGCGGAAGCTTATTACGCGTTCACCAATCATATTCCGTAGTTCAAACCCATTGGCTGTACGCAGCAGGCTGATTGGCTGACGCTTAACTGGCTGCATTCTAAGGTACCTATTTCTTCAATTGAGGCACACTTTCCTCATAAAGGCTTTTTCAGGACGAGAAATGGAATCTCTTTGCCTAGGGTGATCGTTGGGGCGTAAAAGCTCCTGATTTGTGCTTTTCTCAGTTCAAGCTATGAAACTGCTATTCCAGTCGAAACCCCATGTTAAAAGTGAAGCATTTTCTTAAATGACCAGTAATGTGAAAAAAATAGGTGTATAAAAACTTTTGGGACACCCTGTAATTACCCAACGTCGCTGGCGGTACATGGTACGGTACACAATTGTCGCACAGCTGCTATACGAGGCTCGAGATTTCCCCACTAGCCCCACAACAGATGCACCAACTATCAGCCGAGCCATTTCAACATACACATCTGGGCGAACATGACCTAGCTTCCTTCGGTACCCTCCCCCCTCCCCCCACACACAGTACCCACCTGTTGAGCATCATCAGCTGAGATGTGGATCAGCGGTAGCTCTGTCCGCAGGTGCGTAGCTCCGGGGCCACTTCCGCCGCCAGCTGTTGATGTCGTTGTTGCTGTGTCCCCACAGCTACCGCCGTAGCCAATACAAGCCTCTTGTGGGCCTCGTAGCCGGCGGCTAAGGTCACCACCACGTCGTCGCGCTTGACATCGAGGGCCGCGCCGACGATGTTCCATAGCGCACACAGCCGAGGGCCGTAAAAGCACGGG